TGCCCGGGGCAGGGCCGAGCGGGGCGGCTGGTCGGGCCGCCTCGCCGGCGGGAGGACGATAGCTCTGCTTGGGCTGTGGTGTGTCACCCTCCCGACCTCCCTCCCAGACCGACCGCTATCACGATGGCAAGAGCGAAAGCGTGTCAAACACAACAGCCTTCCCCGGCAGGATGGAGGAAGAGGAAGCTACAGCACATGGATATCGGGGTAGGCTTTTTTCATTTTCTGCCCCGGCTTATGGTAGGAGCACATGGTCGTCGTAACAAGCCACGGCGCTGGGAGGAAGAATTGCCTCATGGAATTGCAAGCACTTTCCAAGCAAAGGTGGAGTCTGGAGCAAACAGCAGATCCAGCCGATAGCGGTTGATAAGCCTGGGGAGTATCGTATTGCTGCTTTGCATACCTCAAAGAGATGCCTCAGTCCTTGTGGAGCAGGAAGAGGAGACAGCTCTAACAGACTGGCTCCCAGCACCCAGATAATGAGAGACATCTCCTCTCTTCCTGCAGCAAGCAAGCTTATTCCTTGGCTCATGAAGCAATGGTTTCAGCAGCAGCTTTTTCTCTACTGCAACCCTGAATGGATCCTCTTTGCATTTGGTGAGCAACAATAACTCAACAACTGTAGAACTTCAGAGTTCATCTGACATTGAAGGAAAACCGCTTTTCACCTTGCATAACAATTGAATTAAACTGGAAAGCCAGTAGGACGGAATGAAATTATGTATGCCTTCAAAATAAAAGCCCAAAACAAACAAAAAAGCCACCACCACTCAGATGCTGCTTGGCCAAAATAAATTGCTAATAGGCAACTGCATTTTTCTTCCGTGTTTGTACTGAAACCACCTACTGCTAGAGGGTGACCTGGGAGATAGGATTTAGCGGCCTCCATGCAGGGCTGTCAGTAAGGCAAACCTTCAGCCTTGCAAACCACCTAGTGCTCCATGCCCAGGGTTCGTACCACCAGCTCCGGCTATCCAGACTTTTGCAGCACGTCTACACTAGGCACAGCTCAGTCAGCTTCCTTGCATGTCCCATGCTTCTCCCGGGTCCTCAACAGAGTTAAATAGGTGGGTCTGTGACCAACCATGTATGTTTATATAGCGGCATTGTTTTAAGCAGACATCACTTCATCCAAAGTAGCCAAACTAAAGTGTTTTTACCAGTGACAGTTAGTAAAGGTCTTCCAGAAGAATAGGGAACAGTAAATATGCTGCTCCTTTTCTTGAATCATTCCCCCTAAACAGACACCACACCACGCCCTCCAAACTCCAACCAGGAAAGGAAAAGGTGGGAGAAGTAACAAAAAGGAAGAGGAGATGTGAAGAAACGTACAAGAAACAAGACATGGAGCTTTGGAAACTGGAAATAAAATAGGCTCAGACCTGGGTAGGAATCCAGAGAAAATGCCAAAGTATTAATTTATGATGCACAGTGGTCATTCCTGCAGGCCAATGCTGTGAGATAATTGTATAAGCTAGGTTTTCTTCAGTGGTAATGATGCCCTTTTCTCTGAAGTCACGTGGCTTTACAGAAAGACATCTCAGACAGGATTACAATAGTGCACGTATTTTACTTCACAAACTTCATTTCTGCTTCACAGCAACAGCTATGGGAGACACCGCAAGCGTTTTAGTTTCTGTGCAGGAATGTTTTAGTTGTGCGATCAGAGCTGAACACCATGAGGCAAGGAGAATCAGCACAGCCTGTCCTGTCCGTTGGATTTCTGTACACCACTGGTAGCTGACAGACCTTCGTCGGTGACCAGCTAGTTTAGGTCAGTCAGTCATGCTTTGCTTAGAAGTGGCTGGATCGACTCTCAAGGACACCAGAAACAAATTCTTTTTTGTTCCAATATTCTCCATCTTAAGTACTTTTGACATGAACCTAAACCAGCAACCCAGAAGTAAGGTCCAGCCATCCTCACAAATCAGAACGGGATAGAAAAAAAATGGAAAAAAGAATCTGCTTCCAACGGCATTCAAGACAAAGCTTTGCTGCGTTTGTATACAACAATCCCAGACAGGCGTATGTAGATTCAGGTATTTTTTGAGCCAGCACTTGGCAAGTTAATTTGCCCCATGCCCTCTGCTGCTGTTTCTGTTCCCATCTCTCCTCCTTAAACCACACATACGTGTCTTCAAATTCTGGAAGTTACCTCAGCTCCAGTCTTAGCGTTGCCAAGGTGCACCTGGCAACACGGTGTCCAAATTTAAAAGTTCCTCCATCACAGCCAGCCCAGTGCTACGGTTCTCGAGCAGCGACACCTTCCCAGACATAGGTGGCAGCGTTCAGCTGCTGGGTAACGCTTGCTGAACTGACAGCCTCTCTCCGCATCTTCTTCATGGGAGACAGCAAGCAACCCATGGGTTTTTGTCTTCCTGGGTGCCCTTGTTATTTAACTGTCTTATAAGTCACATTATTTCAAACATTTCCTGCATCTGAAAATGTTTTCCCAAGCCATAATCGGACAACGTACTGTTCACTTGGCTATTTTAACTCGGACAATGTTAAATTGACAATTGTTAGAATTGTGCCTTGGTCTCTCTCGAGCTGTCCTCTCACTTAGGGATTTTCTTGCCTCCCAGTATTTTATGTCTAAGTCTAGGAAAAGTAAACAATCAGTTTCCAGTTAGTCTGATACATGGCACTGGGCTTCGCTTAAGAAAGAAAAGCTAATTAGATCCTGCTATAATTTACACCAAATGCACCATAGTCCCAATCATCAGCAAGATTCTGCCCAATATAAACATTTATATCTCTGACTCTTTAAAGAAGGAATTTTAAAAATCATAACTATGCTGGGGGGGGAAGGGAACCATGGAACATGTTGATGCATTGACCCATCTGCATCCATGCTGCCATGGACAATTTTACAAGAACTGTAATTCGGGATAGGAATTCAAATGGCTGTACAGGCATTGTAGTAGACTGGATTCTAAATAAACTTTTGAGTAGATTTTCCCTCCACCTTATTTCACCTCTCTGTCACACAGAGCCATGGGACGTAGCAGTTAAATCCCATGTCCAAGTATCGGAGACACATTCCAGTTTATTTGTCAAAAGTTTTTGGACATACTCATCACCACGACAGGGAGATTTGCAGTATTGAAGGTTGCAACCAACCACAATTTTTTAAAATTTACGTGAACAGTTAGTATAGAATAGTGATTTCTTCAATCAGCGCTCCCGTGACAACAGGGTACTTTTTTTAGACTGGGGTAAAACCGACTGCAGAGCACGCTGGTTTTGCCTTCTCCAGCTCGGATGGCCCACGGTAAGATTGCTACAGCAACCACCTCTTTCCTCAGGCCAATCCTAAAGCAGGAGCACTTCCCCCCCCCGCCCCCCCAGCTGCTAAGCAAAGAATAAACTTTTAGCTTCGCCCCTCCTTTATTGGAAGGGGAATAGGGTAATATGCTGTAATTGGTTTTCCATGTTTGCCAAGAGTCTGTTTCCTCTTATCATCCACGATATTTAACATAAGTCTTGTAATAGTTCCAAAAATAATATAATCTGTCCCAAGAATAAAAATGATAGATCCACAACATGCTGCTTTTTTGTCATGGTCTTGGTTTCGTAACATTCTGTTAGTAGTTTTTATTGCCTAATGTTGTGGTTTCTTTCATAGCAGCAGACCCAGTAAAGACATTTCATCAGCTACTTACACAGCAGCAGCCTGGATTATTTACAAATGGAGATTTCAGTACCATATTAAAATAAATCACCACTGCATACTGTTAAAGTTACATTGCAGTAATGTGGCAGAAGAAAACCCAGAGATTCTAGGGGGAGGAGCATGAAGTACATACAAATCATAAGTATGATATCAGCAAACAAATTTATTAAGATACCCAAATAAAACCTGTTAGTCTTCCTCCTTCTCCCCTCTCTCCTCCCATGCAATAGTGGAAGAGGAATAGGCAAATTATATCCCCCCACGCATGCAAAACAGTACCCGCAGTATGTGTAACAAGTAACAAAACCCATGCAGTACTTCCCTCATGACTTTATATCATGCCTGAGATAGTACATCCCTCTCTCCCTCCGCCCCGCCCTTCCAGCCCCAAAGCAAATGCCCCGTATTGGGCAAATTCCCTTAAGCGTAGGTGTAACGGACATGGAGCGGTAAAGATGGAGAGCAGCACTCTGCTCACTGGATTCAGTTTGAATGAAAGAATACCAGAACAGACAAGACAAAAAGGAGATCATACACAAGAGAAACTTGATATAGGAGGCAGGGTGAAAAAAAAACCCAAACCAAACAAAAAAACCCTAAGAAAGCAGCTGTAGGACAATCAGCAGCGTCAAAAGAATAGTCCGTCAAGGGGAATCGCCATCTCGGGCTTCAGCATTTACAAAAGCACTACCCCCCGGTAACAACTTCGAGAAAAATGCAGGCACATTGGGGTGCCCTCATTTAGAATGATTACTTTAAAAAAAAAAATCCTTTAATGCCAAAAATTGTCTAATGATATTTCTAATTTTTTTTAATACACATTTAATACAGTTTAACTGTAACTGAGAGCCTGGTAAGAGGTTTTCCTTTCTTCCCGAGAACAGATTTAGTGCTCCAACAGTCACAGGTAAACTCTTAAGGCAGAAATAACTTTCCCAACTGAAACGTATGCCATTTAGCCTAAAACTAATCTGTGCCCTTCTAACCCCACCAATACATAAATATTGCGGTTGAAGGCTCTTCGACTAGTCAGCGACACAACGAACTAAGCATCGCAGGAAGCGCAACACAGCAGAAAGGAGACATCTCTGGAGCAGGGAACAGAGCGCGCGCCGCCTGCTAGGGGCTTCAGGCAGCCCCTCGTTAGTCTGGCTTATCAGTAAGTGTTTTGGCAGTCAGTTACCTTAAGTCACCGCCGAGTCTGGTCTTGCACAAGAATAAATCAGAATGATTGAAGTCGACAGAAACACACAGGCATAAGATTGAGGGGGAGTGTTGATCTTTCTTAAATGACTGCCAAAATTCCCGGAGCATCTCATTTTAAGTAGAAATAAGAGAGACAAGTCTTAAAATCATGCTTAGAGGATTTGTCACTCCAACGTTACTCTTTTTAAGTTAACTATGGTTTTCTACCATATGCAAAACTGGGAGTACAGGGAAACTGCACCGTGGTACGATTTTTCAGTATCGATAGTAGCCTTACATTACGTAACGGTTGTACAAGTTGCTGGGGAATGATGAGATGTTTCAATTCTGTGGTTATGAAAACGCAACCGGTAAAAGCAACGGGAATTCAACGTGAAAGCTAGGCAAGTTATCAGCCACTCGGGTACAAGTAAAACCGAAACCTGTGGAAGAATAACCCTGTAGAGCACATGCTCTAGAAGTAAACCCTGCTGCGAAGTTCTGTGCTATATAATTTTCAAATTCCAGTAGGATGAAAGAGGATCAGCGGCTTCTCAAAAAACCACTAAAATACCCAGATTTCTAACTGGCAACAAAAGGACTATGTATGCACAAAGCTTGTGACAAAAAGCCAGGCAGAACGCAAGGAAACTTCAGTTTTGCTCTAGCTCCTCTTTGAAAGTACCAGATTTTTATGTAACGCACAGTACAAGACTGGCATGTAAGCCAGGACCAACCAGCAGGATCAAAGAATCAATATGCACACGTGACTACAGTAAATCACAGCACGTCCCTCCTGCCCTTCACCCCCCAAAAGAAGTGCTGGTGGCTCTTTGCTATAATAGCCCTAGATTCCTGGTCAATTCTATACACCTTCCCTGCTTTCAGAAAATGAGTGGCTGTCAGAAGCTTTAGCTTTGTAAATCATCACCACTTAAAACAGCATGCATTTTTGTTGTTCTCGGGATAGGGTACAAATTCCCCTCCTCTGCTCTCTTAACAGGGGCAATTTTTAAGGCTAAGAGGAATTTACTCCCATTTGTAACGTAGCTGAGGCTGCTATAGAAGAGCATGCTTTCCTCCCATCTCATCTCAAGCAACTGAGTTCTGCAACGCTGCCAGTTCCAAAAAATCTTCAAGCAGTTAATTCAAGCAAATACTCTTGTTCGTTCTTTCCTTCTTGTGAGCATCTAGTTACTACAAGCCAGTTTTCCCTCAGCACCAATGCAATTCAGTCCTATGGTTTTACTGTCATGCAACACAATTTTCAAACTTCAGCTGAAACAGTGTTTGTGTTTTATAAATGCAAACATCATATAACAAACAGTTAATAGCTGAAAGTATGTAAATGGAGTACCCTCTTAAGAATTTAAATAGTTAAAACAATTATATTGCATTGCTTATAATGCTCCTGAATGTGTAAGAAAGATTTGAAGCTGGCAACTAATGCAAATCCTTACCGGTTGTCCCTTCCCCCAGATACAAACAAAAGGTTCCACACAGTTTTTTTAAACTTTATTTAATCTCAGAACCACTGCTATGTTACACCTGTCAGGCTGAAGTTTATTCACTTCCGATGTTAAAGTTCTGACAATAAGAGTGGATGACATGAGGATCCACGTCCCCCAGTGCTGTGTTGCAGTCAGTATTGGTCCAGTAAGACAAAAGTTTTGCAGTCACGCCCCCCCCCCCCTTCTCTTTTT